ATCTGCATGCNATGCTACTAAATTCATAAGGGAAGTAACGATACCAGAGATTGAGGACAGAGAAGATAAATCTGCCCCTGAAAATGCTAACGCCCTGAAACACGTGTTTAAGTCCAAGATGAAGTCAATGAAAGAAGAAAAGAGGAAAAACAAAGCATTGCATGGCCAGTATCCAAAGATCCTTGAGAAGCCTCATGTAGACACAGTCACCACCAACAAATGGTTGTCAAGTAATTTGAAAGGAGAAACAGAGGGACTACTTGTAGCAGCTCAAGACCAGGCAATAAACACCAGAAACTACGTACCAGAAAGTAATATGTGGCCAGCAAGTGGATAGCAAATGCAGAATGTGTTCGCAACATGAAGAGACAGTGGACCATATTGTATCTGGATGTGAGGTATTAGCCAAAATAGAGTACATCTCCAGGCACAATAATGCTGTAGCATATTATCTCCCTTGGAGCATCTGTAAAGGTCATGATATAGAGATTACAGACAAATGGTACGAACAAGAGCCAGAGACCGTGATGCACAATAAAGATAACAACATCACCATCATGTGGGACATGCTAGTCAGTACTGATAGAACTATAACAGTGAACAGACCAGACATCGTCGTTAAAGATTCAGTGAATTCCATCTGCAAACTGATTGATATGACTGTTCCAACAGATAGAAACATCGCACTGAAGGAAATTGAAAAAAAAAAGCAAGTACAAAGACCTAGAACTAGAAATACAGAGAATGTGGCATATGCAAACCGTAGTGATCCCTGTGGTTGTTGGTGCGCTTGGTACAGTGAAGAAGGGTATGGTAGAAAACATCAAGAAAGTATCAGAGAGAGCTACTATGACAGAGATTCAAAAGATCTGCATTCTGGGATCTGCGCGTATCCTCAGAAAGGTGCTCAGTGTATGAACAGAATGATTCACTTGAGTGACTGACGCTCTAGGTGCATGGTTTGCGCCCGGCTGATGCACAAAAAGAACACCAGCAAAGACTATGATAAAAGAGATGATAATAACAATAATTCTAATAATAAGTGGAGTTATTTTTGGGGGGGTTATTTTAACTCCAAAATGGAGTTTAAAGAACTCTTTTTCAGGAGTAAAAGTGACCCCAGATATTGAGGAGTTAAAATAACCCCCAAAAAGGCGTTATCCTGTACCTAAAAATTTTACTCCATTTTTGGAATTATAATAACTCCCTAAACTTAAATTACGGTGTGGTGATTTAGGAAGGCCGATTTTGAGACTGTAACACTGCAAACTCTCTTGAAACGCCACAAAATAGAAGAAATAGAAGCTAATAGAAATACCTTACCAATCCTAGTCGGCCAAAAGTGAAGACACCGTCATTCTTCTAGGGTGCAGCGCCACAAATTTCTCACGAACCACACTTCGATCGATTGTAACTGCATTTGCGGCTGGTTGACTTCACAAGGTTTTTGAGACCACGTATTTCCGTTTGTTTTTCCACGCATTATTTTTTTTCGGTGGGCTGTTCTAAAGGGGGGTAGCTAGTCACCCAATCTACTCTCCCTGGATCTTCCACTGCATCGCCTCGCACTTCGACTTCTGTAACAGCCTCTTGCATGAATCACCTGTCTCGGAGCTTAGCGTTAGATTCATCGTCTTTAAAACATTACAGAAAGACTTGTATGTCAAGAGGCGTGATGAGAGTAACAGTTAACAATTGTTTTTACCTGCAGGGAAACACCGAGGGTAAAATAATTTGCTATTAGTCAAGCTAAACTACTATATGTCTATAGCTACAGCTTGTATTTTCTAGTCCGCAGTGATTGCTGTCGTGGGTCGGGCGTAAACACAGAACGTTTATAGGAGTTTAAACTCGAAATCACAAATATAGTATAGCATTAGGGAAGTTCTGAGAGAGGTATTGGATACATTTTCGTATCCGATTTATTTGCGGGATCTGACTTTTAAACTATTTCTACCAAAAACAAGAATCGCTTAAAGGCGATTTTAACTGGGCTGCCAAGGGGAGATTTTTTCTTAAGGGAGGGGGCGGCTAGGTACAAACTCAGGCTTGTCGCCGACCATTGCGTGACTCATGAGAGAGTGCGAGACATTGTACCCTTTTGCAAGACTTTCATAACAAGAAAAAATGAGGACCATTTTTAAGTCGGAGCTGTATAGTAAGATAGTAACTTTTAGATTCCACCATTATGAATAAAAATAAGCAAGGTAGCCATTCCAAGCAGGAAACGTTTACCATTATTTTTTACGCACCCCTCCACCAATCCCTCTGCCCCCCAAAATATATCCCCCGGCTCCTTCGACTCGAGGGGATGTTTGAAATTCAGGGTAGGAGATATTTATCCAAAGTCGTGCGTTTCTCGTGATATTTGCCAGCGAGGACTGGATGTAATTAAATCAAACCGTTTTTGTTATTTTATACAAAATAAAAGGTTTTAGATAGAGAGAATTTGTGTGTGTAATAGTTTCCACATTTTCATCATAATTTGTTGATCATTTGTTACTCGTGGATGTGTTTTCTCAGCTGTACTATCCTACTCATGCCAAAAAACAACCACCAGGCCGGACTTCCGTTATCAATCGTTAAAAACATGAAAAATCGATATTATCGATTTGATCAAGCAATTTAGTTTATCGATTTTCACCCATTTCCGTCATCAATCGATAAAAATCACTTGATCGCTACCGATTTTTTTCTATTGACTACTCGGGGCAATGAGCACATTCCTCGTGTTACGTAGATGACAGTCAATTGTACTTAAAATTTATTAAAGTTTCCGATATAGATAATGCTGTAGCTTCCGTAAATGCTGACCTTCAACATACAGATCTGTAAATGGAGTGCCAAAAATTCATTGCTTCTAAACCCTGATAAGACGAAATTACTTGTTATTGTGCTACCGCGCATTATTAACCACGGTTACCGCAGATATATATGTGTTACCATACTCTGATATAATGATTTCGCCGGTTCCCTTTGCCAGGGACCTTGGAGTACGTATAGAGGGTATTACACGGTGGCGAGAAGATATGAATTTTATGTTCGAGTGGCAAGAACAATATCTCACTCGTTCGCTTCGCTCACTCGTGAGATATTGTTCTTGCCACGAGAACATAAAATACATATCTTCGAGCCAACGTGTAATGTTCTTTTTATTATATGGAGAAACCAATTCAACAAAAGCAAAAGGCGGGAATCGTGACTTCATTGAACCATACGACACTCACAAAGGTGACATACGAAAAATACGCCACTCGGGTCCCGGATGAAGTGGCGTATGGAATCTACGAGTGGTTTAGTTCCCAGTAAAACACTCTCCTCCATATAATAAACAGATGAATGTCTTTCATATGATACTCATATCACTAAAATTGTTTCTAGTTGCTTTAATCACTTAGTACATATAAATAGAATTAAGCATCTGTTAGATACACAAACACTTTTATTACTCATAAAAAGTTTTGTGTTTTCTAAGCTACTTCTATTCCTCAATTTTGTGGTCAAACACCTCTAAGACTATACAAAATTTTGCACCAATTGGAGTTTGTGCAATTTTGTCGCGAGAATTATTCTGGGACTTAGAAAATTCGACCACATCAGTGAACGGCTATAGTCACTTATAATGCTCAGTGTAAAAGATAGATTAGAAATCAACGATGCTGTGATGGTGTTTAAATGCCTTAACAACCTTGTTAGTCCTAAATATCTATGTGCGAAGGTTCAAATGAGATCGTCGGTAAGTACTGGGGTAACGCGATGTGTAAACAACCTTAATATTCCACGTTGTCGCTTGGCAACTGGTCAGCGTCGTTTTGCCTATAGAGGGGTTAAAATCTGGAATGGATTAATAAGCAAGCACCTGAGGGCGTTAACTAGCTTAGACAATTTTAAACAGTGTATTTTTAGAGAATATTTGAGCAAATCACGTTAATATATTATATATTATACATTCATTATATTTAGTTAAGTTGACGATTATTATTCTTTTTTACCTTTTTGTCTTGTAATATTGGTGCTGAAAAGCCACTTTAGGGAACAACCATAAAAGTATGTATGTATGTATTCCTTTCCTGTTTGGGGGAATGACTTTTCATTCGCAGAGTATGAATCGCAATAAGGTAAAAAGAGACAATGGCCGTCACATTTTTTTAAAACGGTTTTATCTTCAACATAAGGCGAAGAGAAACCTCGAAAGCGACCCATCCTACCATCTTTTGAAGAAGGCATTGAAAAAAAGTGCCAATGATAGCTTGAGAGACGTCTTTGATGTACACACACACAAACACACTAGCTATACGCATACAGAGATTTGAAATCACGTTTTGGAAAGGAAAAAACATATAAAGAAGATTAAACTTCAACAAAAAAGTGAAGAAAGACCCCAAAAGGTACCGTATTTATTCGAATAAGCGCCCAACTTCGAATTAGCGCTCAGCCTCGAATAAGCGCCCACTCTCAAGGTCCAAAAATTTAATAAGCGTCTATGGCGGTTAATCGAATAAATACGGTCCTCATCGGCGCATCTTTTGAAGGAGACGATGAAAAAGCACAGTACACTAGCTTCAAACACGTCTTCATTTAATGGCTGCCGTTGCTTAACATGCTTTATCGTTACTTTAATAATTGATACTGTTCATTTTTTTGACGGAGAAAATCTCGGGGGGGGGGGTAAACTCTCTTACGTTCGTCTTATAGGCATTGGTCTGAAACAGAGAGAATCAGTTCTCTCTTGTCTGAAATAGTGTCAGGATTTGGAGAGCCGGACGGCACAACCCCACTGCAAATTCCCAGAAATACACACCCTCCCCCGGGGAGAAGATCGAAGGTCTTTTGTCAACTGGGCCCACCCTGGGCAGCCTAGTCAATAAATTTTGTGCTCACAGCACCCTTTGCGGACCTACGGAATGCCCACACCGCATGCTGGGCAGGGTATATCCAGACTTTGGGCGCGTTTCAGCCTCGTTATCAAGTGTAATTACCAAACGGAAGCTGACTCAAACATGGCCGCTCTACCTTCGGCGCCTGAAATTGTTCGGGGCCAAGTTTTTGATGTCGGGCCACGGTATACGAATCTAACGTACATAGGAGAAGGGGCATATGGAATGGTTTGGTAAGCGAACTATATCAGATCTCACTCTTTGAGTGTTCAATGATGCTGAATAGCCTTTGTGGCGTGACTGTCGAGTTCGATTTTGCACGTCCGAGACTTAAAAATATTCTTGTTCTTTTTCTCCTACATGAAGCTCTGCGGTGGACAATCTTACCGGACCCAGGGTAGCCATCAAGAAGATCAGCCCTTTTGAGCACCAGACGTACTGTCAGAGGACACTAAGGGAAATCAAGATTTTAAAGCGATTTAAACATGAAAATGTAAGCATATATACGTACGTACCGCTAAGAACAGATCGATACTTGAGACGAAAATATGTCATGAATTCCACTGAATATCTTTACAACTTGGCCTTTACCTCCTTTCCGTTGTACATCACGGAATGATTTCCCTACACAAATATGTATTTTTGCTGATATGGCTGTTGATTTGAGCTATTTTTTCTTTCAGATTATTAACATAATGGATATTTTACGTGCTCCGAACATCAACGATATGAAAGACGTGTATCCTTTGAAAATACTCTGGTAACAACAACCATATTGCTTAGGTTTAGTTCTTGTTGTTGCTCAATATCTGTAAATTCGCGAATTTCCTGTTTGAGTTCGTTTTATGACAAATTACCAGTATTCGAACATCGCTACAACTTTTGGACAGCTCGTGGAAGAAACGTGCATGTTCATTTCAGAAATCACAAAATACGGTTTTGCTGAAGGAAAGCTAGAAGTTTGTGGGAGAATTATAACATTTAACTCTGAATTGAAGTGTTGTTGCTCACGCAAAATATTTCATGTTCGTAAAATTACTTCTGTCTGCCCAAATTTTCTCTTGGTTACTGTATGTTACTATACCCTACGGGCAAAAATATTCAAGTCGCGACAGCTTGTTTTGCCGTTGTATTCCAATGTATTAAAGCTTTATTTTTCTTAATTTAGCAAACTGCCCGGCTGTTCGCAGGGACACAGCTGTCGCTTTCTATCGCCACATTTTTTACATTTTTAAAAGTTCTTGAAAGCTGCCTAACAAAAACTTCCAATATACGCTTTTGAAACATAGTTACCAGTTTTTACTGCATTTCGAACACGGCGTTACACTTCGACGTCTTTTGAGTAACGTAATTGTTTACATTGCCTTTATGTCATAATAGAGAGTTGTTTACGGTGACTTATAACATTCCAAAAATACCACAACTTCAATGTTGCAGATGGAACATGGCCTTTTAGCTTTTTCCTGTACATCAGTTTTCATCATTTTTTTAATACTAAAAATACATGTATCACAAAGCGTCGCACATGGCAAATGAAGAAAAATCAAGACCAAAAAAAAAACCAAAACAAACAAAATAAAAACAGGCAAAGAAACAAGCAAAACAGGAAAAAGTAATGGCATAACTGAGAGTTGGATCCACGTCTCTTGCTTACCTGCAAATACATATGTCTCAAATAAAAATAGTATATTTGTATTTTTCATCGGAAATTCTACTGTTGAACACTGTTTACGCAGGTTGAGCCACTTTAAACATAAATTCATAGGTATATTTGTGGAAAATAAGCAGGGTTTGAGCTAAACTTGCATGAAAGCTGAAACAAAAAACACTTCTCATTACATTTGAAGAACATATGGCTTATATAGACCTGATAGAGACACAAATCAGTCTTCTGTTGCCTCAAAAAGGTTGCTCTTATAATGAAGCAAATGGACCAAATCATTTGCATTTTCTCTTAAAAGTAGTTTCTGCATTTGAAGTTCATCACTATGAGCATTTGCTGATTTCTAACACAATTGGAAACAACCTGGCTAAGTTTGTTGTGGTTTTGTGTACTTACAGTTTGTTTCTAGGTAGCTATGGAAACCAGGCGGATGCAGTCATACATGTATACCCAACTTATGTTTCTGTCTTGCTAATGATCATGTGCATTCCACACATAGTGCCAATTATGACAAAAATTATAAACTTTTCTTTGCGGCAAACAAACTCGTCTATTTAAATTCTTTGTGCTCTATTTACAGTTCAAGACCAGACAAAACAAAACAATATTTTATTTGGGGTCTTATACCAGCTGGTTTCCAAATAATTTCAAATTGCAATCTTTTTTGCAAAGTTATACATATGCAAAGAACAAAACAATGCAAATCTCAAGTCTCAATATCAAAATCTCAATCTTAATTCAAACATGAGACATTAGTAAGCCTAAAAAGAAGGCTTCTTACAATAATGTCGTGCATCCATAATAATAATAGTAATAATAATAATAAAAGTAATACAAAATTGTATTTAGATGAATAAAATTAATTAACTATGCTAATTACCAACTTGGCAGACTAATGAGAGCAGAGATTGCAGCGACATTTGTCCTGGCCCAAGTTAAATTCTTTGAACTTGTCAATGAATTCTTAAGATCACAGTCCTCCCTAACATGAGGAGGAAGAGTGCTCCAGAGATGGCATGCAAAGGAGAAAGATTTGTGCTTGAAAGAAGTATTAGGGGCCTGCTGATTAAGTCTGCTAGTACTACCAATAAGATTGTTCTCACAGATTTTCATACTAAACATATTACTCACATAATTAGGATAGCCTTTGAACATAAGTACGAGAGCGTGGACTAGACTAGACGCCTATACTTGATAGAGTCTAAGTTATACTAGGACAGGATCTCTTTGTAGCAGATAGACTTCAATTTACATGAAGCACTGCGTAAAATTTAATGGTATGCCGTATGTACTCCTCAAGTAAGCATTACCCCCAATTAAGCACAACCCTCAAATAAGCACCGCAGTTGGTAGGAAAAAGTTAATATTGTTAAAGGGCTGTCCCCCAAATAAGTGCCACGGCTCTTATATAATCAGGGTTGTCACTAAGATTTCAAGTTGCCGGGTAAATACAACAAGTAGGCGGGGAATCAAATGGCTAGGGATTTCTTTTGGTTCTATTTTTCTTCTATTTTCCAATAAAAGTAGCCGGGGGCCACTCTCTTAGTAGCCGGGGAAAATCCCCGGCCCCCGGCTCTTAATGACAACCCTGTATAATCAAAGTGAAAAGACTGTTAGTTTAATACAGAAAATAATAACAGCATATTTAATACAATTCTTTGCCATGTGCAACTTTCAAATAAGCGCTGCCCTCAAATAAGTGCCACACTTGAATAAGCTCTGCAATAAGTCCTGGTATTTCCCCCACAATTGCAGTGGGGACAATAAACTTCTTCATAAAAACAATTTTTACTTGAAGACATGTTCTTCCTTGACAAGGGGTGTAGGTACATTGTTCAGAGTCTGATGGAGACAGATCTTTACAAGCTGTTGAAGACACAAAAGCTTAGTAATGACCACATATGTTACTTCTTGTACCAAATCCTAAGAGGACTAAAATACATCCACTCTGCTAATGTGCTTCATCGGGATTTGAAGCCCAGCAATTTGCTACTGAACACAACATGTGATTTGAAGGTGGGTGTTGTTAAGCATTGATTTTGTTACCCCTGCATCCTGCGTCCCTGGTGCCTAAAAATTCTCAAGGACATGGAATAATAACTGACAGCTTGCATCTTTTGGGAGGCAACGATCGGTCTGATCGATCTAAAGATTTTTTTGAAGAATGCCCTGTTTGTGCGATTCTAAATACATATTGAAAGCTACCTCAAAACAAAAGAGTGATATCGTCTGCTCGTAAAATAGGTTAAGAACAATTTTTGAACAAATAGATAGAATTAGAAATGTTATCTCCATGCAAATTATCCAATAAGATTTTTTCAAAAGCGCAGGGTTGTCGCTAAGATTTCAAGTTGCTGGGTAAATACAACAAGTAGGCAGGGAATCAAACAGCTAGGAACTTCTTTTGGTTCTATTTTTCGTTTATTTTCCTTTGAAAGTCGCTAGGGAAGACGTTCATAGTAGCCAGGGGAAATCCCCGGCCCCCGCCTCTTAATGACAGCCCTGAAAGCGGCCATTTTTATTTACCTGATGGAGTGGTTGCTCATTATGTTTGCCATTTATGAAAAGCACATGGCTGAACCAAGATGGCTGACAGTGCTTCATAGTATGGTAAAGCTTTCGTCTAACTGATTCTAAGCTTCAAGGGATTGTTAACGTTAATGTGGAAATAAGAAAATGTCCTGTAAAGTGCCGTCTGTATGTTTGGTGATCAGTTTGGTGTTTCCTCGGATGTTTTGTTAGCTCAAGAGAAAACAAAGTACATCTACAGCTGTAGCCCTACATGGGTTTGTCTAGTTTTATGTGTTTAGAAAGTTTATTATTATTTGCCATCAGAGCAATAGCACCAACAACTTTGAAATTTATTATTCATTCCTTGTTTTTGTATTTGTGAAATGTATTGTTATTGTCATTATTATTATTATTATTATTATTATTATTATTATTATTATTTTATCTCTTCAGATTTGTGATTTTGGATTAGCACGCGTTGCAGACCCTGAACATGATCACAAAGGAATCTTGACTGAGTATGTTGCAACAAGATGGTATAGAGCCCCTGAAATTATGCTCAATTCCAAAGGATACAGCAAAGCCATTGACATCTGGTCTGTTGGCTGTATTCTGGCTGAGATGTTGTCTAACCGTCCACTTTTTCCTGGAAAACACTGTATCTTTGAAATAGTGACTAATATATGTCTGTTTTTTAGTATGTCAATTCGGTGCTCCAAGCTCAACATTTTTCGAACTTTTTGCGCCTTTTGTATTATTCCACAAATTGCTCAAAATAATCGAAGTGACTGCTCAACCATGTGTAAAGCTATAAATCTCGGAGGTGCATGCAACCGCTTAAAGCCTATAATTACTGGACTACGTGTACCACGGTGAAACAGGCAAATTATGACGAAAATATCTTTTTACCATATACAAAGATCATAAACACTTAACCAATAAAAACACCATAGTTTGGGACACCACTGTCAAGCACAGGTTACTGCATCAAGGCAACTTTCAAAATTCACTGCAATTTGAGATATCAAAATTTTTCTTACTCGCCAGGGTTACCCAAAATGGTCACAGCTTAGACTGCTGCAGTAGCAGTGACTCTTTTCAAGGGTTTCTGAAGCAGTTGTTAAAGTTAACTGAAGTAGGCAGCGCTTGATTTAACAAAATGTTAGCCAAACAGAAAATACCACAATACTTTTTGATTTACTGGCATAGCTGCACAAGTTTTTGTAGGTGGTTTTTGCTTGAATGCAGTTTGTTTTGAAGTACCAGTAATTAAAGGAAACTTTAAGCATTATAAAATATAATAAAAGACATTGGAACTAAACCTTTTTTCAAGCCAGCACTTGAACTTTTGCATTTGTACATGAAAATGTTTGCATTAGGCAAATATTGTTTAAAAGATGATGCTTGCATGTGCAGTAGCATTGGCAGCTCATGCCAAGATTACCCTGAATAGATGGCTAAACCTGGGTATTAAAGAGTTTCTTGGTAATTCCAGAAAGTCCTATTAATTTACTATCCATTGTCTAAAGCAGCCTTGGCTTGCTAAATAATGATAAGGCACAGGCTACATTTTTTACATAAGCAGTCTCGAAAATCTTCCTTGACATGTTGGTCAGATCTTGATCAGCTGAATCACATCTTGGGGGTTTTAGGATCACCGACCCAAGATGATTTGCAAAGCATCATGAATGAAAAGGTAAAGAAAAGCAGAACCTTTTTGTCCTTCTGTCATTAATCTTATAAATATTTTGCATTTTGCATACAGAAAAAGGACTTAATGAATTCCAGCTTGTCTTTACAACAAGCTTCTCTCAGCTTTTCTCTTGCCTAGGGCCCTAATGCACCCTGTTAGTCTTTATGAACTATTTTGAAGTTGACTTACTTGGGCCCTTGCCCATTGGCCAAGTGAACATGAAAAAAAGGAAAATCAGGAAAGGGAAAAATCTACTTGTACTTGGCCCAGATGACTGGATGGTAATGTTAGGAATCCGCTGAGATACAAGATGGTGTATTTTCATCATTGATCTTTGGAAGTACAGTCGACTCTTGCTAACTCGAACTCTCACTAACTTGAAACTCGCGCTAACTCGAACCAAACTCAATTTCCCCTGGATTTCCTTCATACGTTTACTGTAATTTTACCTTCAGTAACTCTAACCCTCGATAACTTGAACCTCCCGCTAACTTGAAGTAATTGTGCTTAAAAAGTTGGGGGGAAACAGTGTACAGCTGGCGTGTGAAAGATTGAATTTTGAATTTCCCATTGACGTGTTGTAGGCATCTAGTTTACTTGTGAAGGCAGGTGTTGTTTGTCACAAATCTAACGTGAACAGCTTAATTACTTCTCAAAACAGTAAAATGGATGCTCTATTTGGTCTATATTTTGTTACATTACATTCTGATTTATAATCTAAAAGTCTCTTTCAATTTTCGGTTGACATTTCTACAAGTAAATGTGATTAAAATGTTCACTGTACGGCAAACAATGTTGTTTTCGTACTATTGGCTATTTTCTTTGAGCTGCCAATAACTCGAACTCCCGATAACTCAGACTTTTTTTTGATTTCCCTTGAAGGTTCGAGTTATCGGGAGTCGACTGTAATTGGATTAGCACGCTCGATCGTTCTTGATGATTGATCAAACCAGTTACTGGAAAATTTTCTTTATAAGAATTCCATTTATTTTTCAGCCTTGTGCAAGTCAAACTGCCAGGCTCTGAATTTTTTCTGTGCTTTCGGGAAAATTCTCTTTCTTCTTTAATAGTTCATTTGCATGATTGCATCATTTAACTACTACAACCAGAATCCTTTTTGTTTTTCCCTTCATATTTAAATTTGGTAATCCCAGCAATGAATAAAAGCCCTAATTTGCAAAAGAAAGCAAAACCCAGAAGGATTCTAGTCGTAATAGTAAAATGACATCATTGGCAAATCAGAGCTGTCATTATGATTAAGGGCCATAATGCGTAACACCTGTTATGTCTCAGCTCACTTGATGTCACAGGTGATCAAAGTGGAAAGCTAAAGGTGGCACTATAAATCTTTGTGAGATGTTACGGGTGAATCTTCATGTGCTATGGTTGCTTGAAAACTTAATGACAGCCCTGCAAATGGCCTATCATGAGAACATTAAAAAAATAACACACAAGTATTTCCCATTATTTGTTATTTGCCAACAAGAGTTTTTTTTCTGCATTAATCATTTGAACATTTTCCATAATTGGTTTTTGCATCACTTAAAGAGACCCTGGACTTCCCTGAAATTAATACTGCATGGGAAAAATTAAAATCTTCATGTTTTAATGTTTGTACTGCTTAAACGTTTGAGTGAAGGTAGAGTGATGGCATCATGTTGTAAGTGTTTGTACATGTTTACGACAAAGCCACTTAGTGCTTTTTGTTTATCTTGATGTCATTATGTTCTGCAGGCCCGCAGTTACATTCAGTCATTAGCCTACAAACCAACTGTCCCTTGGACAAGAATTTTTCCCACTGCAGACCCAAATGGTGAGAGAAGGCATATTGATGTTATCATGCTGTTCAGTTTCTTAGAGGACAGTCTACCATGCACCTTATTTTTTGGCTGTCCATCTTACTATGTACAGTGGAACCTCGATATAATAAGGGGACTGGCAAAATTTGTTCACTGTAAAGAGGTTTTGTTATGTCAAGGTCCTTTTTCATATATTTTACTGTCACAGGGGCAAAGAAAATAGGGACCTTAAGATCCGAGGATGGCGACGGTAGTGAAAACGTTGCTGAAAAAGTGAATTCGCATTCTTTCAATCTTCATCGCGATTACTCCAAGTCATTAACTTTGTCAAATGTAGGCGAACCCTCCCAAAGTTGAATTCCTAAGAACCATATCCAAGTTCAAAAAGAGAGAGGAAATCTGGTCCTCGCTTGTGTACTTCCTCTTTACATCATGAAATTAGGCATTTTCATGTCGTAGTCATGCTGTGACGGCAAAGAAATGTACCAAAAAGCGTGATGCACATGCAAAAATGTTATTTTGCTAATTAAACCTATTGCTTTTGTGGCGTTCCCATATCCATCACCATTGTCGGATCTTAAGGTCTCTAATAGTTCGTTATACCGAGGACTTTGCTAAATATTTTTTAAAAATATATACAAGTAATTATCGAGGTTCTACTGTACAGTGTACATGGATGTGCTTACAGATGTGTCCATCTTTACTGTGCATAGGGTACATATAGATGTGTGTGCACCTTCTATGGCTGTCCATCCTAAACAAGTGTCCAGTTGACAAGGGTATTAAGGCCTTAAATGGTTATCTTCCTCAAAAGGGTATTCCCTTATGTCGGTGCCTATTGTACATGAGTATATCTGTGGTTCATGCATGTTCCTGTTTTATCAGGGTCGATAACACAAAAGTAGAACATAACGTATTTGTCAGTGACAAACTAGAAAGAAATAAATAGTAATGTTTCTTTCTCCATGTTGGGCTTCCTTTCATGGGTAATCTTACATGGGTGACCATTTTACATGATAGTATGCTCTGAGAATGTGCACATTTATTGTCCTGTACCTTTGTTGGAAGTTCCTTTTATCAAGCTTTTTTAATTTTGTTTTTGTTCACAGCTCTAGATCTTTTGGATAAGATGTTAACTTTCAACCCTGACAGGAGAATTACAATAGAGCAAGCTCTAGCTCATCCCTATTTGGAGCAGTACTACGACCCTGCAGATGAGGTATGTACGATTCAGTGAAACCCCTGTTGATTAAAAATCTGGTTATACAGTTGAACCTCCATTAAGCAGCCAGCCACCCTCAGGGTACTGGCAAGTGGCCGCTTAATGGAGGTGGCCGCTCAATAGAGGTTTGTGATAAATTAGCTTAATCTTTAGCACAAATATCACTCTACTGTGAAACAAATGCTTGACAGGAGAAACATTGCTGGTTTACAATCCGTCATCACCATCTATCTCGGAATTTACATGTATTTTAATTTCTCATTCTTTACTACAATTATTTTGGGACTTTAATTACTGGCCATTTATAGAGGGTGGCCGCTTAATGGAGGTTCAACTGTGTAAAAGAAACAAGACACTTGTTTTCTGATAAGAAAAGTGACTGAATGCAGTATTTTAACGTTCGGTTTGATAGAATAAATTATAGTCCTGATAATGAGGTGGCCACGTGAACTGGGTGATAGTTTTCAGGGGGAATTAGAATTACAGAAGTACTAAAGACAAATAATTGTTTAAATTCTTAATAAATTCATATGGATTGAAAGCTGTTTTTAAAGCTGGTCTGATACAATGAATGAATACAAACTGACATACACTATACATTTACTCTAAGGGCCATTTCAGCTATTAACAATATTATTATTGTTTTGTTTTTGTAAGGGTAACCATAAAGTAGTCAAAGTTCAAGTGTGATCCTACACATTAACTACAAAGTGCAGATGTTATTATTCTTATTGTTTTGACAGCCTGTTGCAGAGGAACCGTTTAGATTTGAAACGGAGTTGGATGATCTTCCCAAGGAGAAACTTAAAGGTCCGTATGTGCAAATTGATCATTTTAAAAATCAAACAAGGAAACTGTGGTTGAAATTAATTTACTAATTTACATTAATTTTGAAAGTGAAATTCATAGCGGCAAAATTAATAACTGCTTTTTAACGAACAGTAACGATCAAATACATGCATCAACAAACAGAAGTAATTTATTATTTTTCAAGAGACAAAAACTTCTTAACTAAATCTCTGCTATAGTTACGTCCATTGAGTCAAATACCGACTTTAATTTTTGACTGAATTAGTCAATGTAAAATATTATAAGTTTTAGTCAATAATTATTGTACTAATATATATATTTTTTATTTGTTTGATATTATAGAACTTATTTTTACCGAGACTGCTCATTACACGGACTCCCATAACCTCTCTAGCCAGCATACTTTTCATGGTTGAAACAGTTTGAAAAGGTAACTCAGTCAATCTGTTCTTCTAATAAATCTTATATTAATTTTAAATCCCTACAGCAATAATGTAGTTTGATAATTTTCATGACAGAAATTAATAGTATTTAACTTTTCGTTGCATTTCTTCACTGTCACCTACACTGTGTAATTAGCATTTGGAAAATTTTCAGGGTTGCCACGGTCAGGGAAAAACAAAAATTTTTCAAGGTCAGGGAAAAGTCAGGGAATTTTTTAAAGAGTGGGGGAAAACCTTTGATATTGTCAAAGTCAGTGAAAAGTCAGGGAATTCTGTTTTCCGGTTTATAGTTCGTAAGTTTACTTCAAGACTTTGAAATGCATTGATTTTCGTTCGGAAAAGATGAAAAGTATGCTGTAAAGCAAGCAAAGCGGTCAATTTGACGCTCTACGCCTGACACATGTAGTAGTTGTGGTCAGTGGTTTTCGTTCTGAATGCTTTCTTCCAAATTCCTTCTTCCTCTTTCCGCGAAAGGCAGAAAGAGGTTGAAAATGAAGAGAGAAATGTCGATGGCCTGCAAAAAAAAGCTAAAGCGAATGTAAACATCGATTGTTTCTCATTAATTGAAGGTCAGTGAAAACTGTTTTAAGGTCAGTGAAAAGTCAGGGAAAAGTCAGGGAATTTTACTTTGAGCTCCTTAGTTCTTCACCGGCTTCTGGTTTGTGACTTTTTTCGTAAAATATGGTAAAATTCTAGTTATACAGTTTTAAACCCTTGGCCTATACAGCTACAAATGTACGTACAGGTTAGGAGGTCGGATGACTGGCTTTTATATTATTGTTGGTTGGACTTACATGTTATTTTATAAGCGGTGTAAAAAAGCGTTTAGAAATGCGTTTTCTGCGGTTGAAAAGAGGCGTTACTTACAAACATTATTTTCATTTAAAGACATTTTTCCATTTGCTTGTTTTAATTTAAAACTCCCAGAAACGTCACAAATGAATCAATAATGAAATTAACATTCAAAGTTAAAGATAAAACTAAAAGACTCAAGCAAAAATAAACCAATGAAAACCACAATTTTAACCTCATTATTATGAAAAAACTTTGACACAGAATACGCGGTATATAGAAAATTAGTAGACAAGGAGAGATTGCATCTGGTAGGAGAAAGGTGTAACATTACAGGAGAATATTTTGAAAGGGGCTCCACGTCTGAATATAAAATAGTCACAGGCTACCGAACGTTTGCCGGAGCATGCGAAGTAAACGAGAATTCTCCGATCTCCGATGCCTAATGACCACTCTGCTGGTGCCTGAAAGAGGGGTGTTTGTAAGTGGGACAGTTTTTTTTTGCATATACAGTAGCTTCGCAGACGATCTTAGGGGTTTGTCACGCGTTCCTGCTTCACAGAGGAAGGAACGCGTGACGACCCCCTAAGAACGTCTGCGTGATGGGCTACATATACGTAGGCCTTTCAATGGGGAAGGGACAGTGGGCTTACAACGAAGGTTCCCACAATGTTTTTCGGGATACGGGATTTGCCCTACTTGAAAGCCAGGATTTGGGATTTTAATGAAAATTGGAGGCGGAATTCGGGATTGAAAATAACCATTGGGATTACGGGATTGCGCGAAAATTGGGGTCGGGATAATAGGATTGAAGAACCTTATTGGGACACTCTAAAACTAGAAGTTTACTTTATCTTCTAAACTGTGAATGGAATTGGAGTAATTGTTTCTATTCTCTTCTTTTCAGGCTGGCGTTCAGTATCATGTATAATTATGTTTGATTTAATGGAATATGTAAAGTACATCTATTGTATAATTAGGTTTTTCCATTAGGATTGTGATATTTCTGGCTTGCACACTTCCGATTCAGAAACTTCACATCCATGTCTCTCTAAATATAGATGATAAAATGTAGTTTAGTGATCTCCCCAGTTTTTCATCAGTTTTGTACTGCAATAATTCTCTTTCTTTCACAACTAAAGCAAATTGTCTTGGGTATTTGTAAAATGTGGTATTTCTTGCGCAGATGCTGTCTTTATTTAACACGCTTCTTGTAGAAAAACGTGCCAAAATAACTTTTGTCATATTTTTAAATCCTCGAAGGTCCAGTTCATAGACCGAACTTATCATGAACCGAGCCAAATAAGTCTTGAAGAGTTTAGTCTGATCGTGGACTGTTCACACTTCTTGCCCAAACATTTAGTGCCTAGGTACCGGCTGAAAATGGTGTGTTTACACCTTGAGTACCCGATATGTAACTGTCCACATATTTGCTCCATTGCGCCCAGTCAGACGCCATTTTGAAACATGAGTGTCAGAGGGAACTATGGGTATGCAAAGCCGTGGCCAACAGAGTCGTGCGCACACAGGAACCCGATGCTCACTTGAGTGCCCGAATACAAGGTTTTGAACTCGTACGAGCACCGGCACAGAACCCGAACTCAGGCGTGGGTGGAGCGAGTACTGTGCTCGGGCTTTGCATCCTGGCATCAAGTGTGATTGCTGCCTGAAATTGTCAAGAGCATTCATTTTTATTTCGAAAGATTCAGCCATTCTTCCCGCTTAGTTCAGATGATGGCGAGTTCTATTTTTTCTTTCGTCAGGTTCGGCTAATTGCCGCAACAGGTGCAGGTTTGTTGATTTGGATCCTTCCTTAGTCTCTTTCGCAGAGCGGAATCACGCATCGGCCCGAGCCGCTGCTACGAAGGAGACTAAGGATTCCTTTGACAGATGTTAAGAAAGAGACTCCTTTTTGGATAAGTAATAGCACTTTCGCTTTGCATATTTAAGGTTTTCATTCATACGAAAGTAATGCAAAAGATCAAGCCTTAAATAGTCTATCACGCCGTGGAGGTTCTGTTTTGGAGCTTTCATTTGATTAAATAGTCACGCTTAGTGATTCATTTAAAAAATGAACCTCAGCGCGGCTCACTTATTTCTACTCCAAGATGAGTTCATGTATGATGTCTCTTCAAACTAGGACAATAAATGCTTGAGCATTGAATCATATGAGAGTATAAAAATGTATGCGAAGAGCAGAACACAAAGGAGACTTGTGTTTTTTCTGTTTTTTCGGGACTAGTCGGTGGAATTTTATGAAACAGCCCTGGATCCGTTGTGCTTAAGCCATCTTAATCTCTATCTTATCTAACCTGCATCTACCTGTCGGTGTTTTTCCTGCCAAAGGAATGTAAAAAGTAATTGCTACAAGCTCAAATCACTTTATAAATGGATCGAAACCAAGCGAACCAGAAGTTAAATTCACCAATCAGAATCTAAAGAATTAACCAAGGGCTTCTTAGAATTGTTAGAGATGCTTGAAGGTGATTGAATAGACTGTTCATAGTCCTCTATCTTTCCGCAAGGCGCTTTGCGTTACGGGGGGCCATCTTGGTTTCAAATGTATCGAGTCTAAGCTGGGGATGAGTGTCGACCCCGACGCCCCCCCCCCCCCCCCCCCCCCCCCCCCCC